AGGCAGTCTCGCTTCAGTTCGCGAATTGGAAGTATCTCCTAAAGGCCTTATCCCGGGGCCGCACTGCCCCGGGATCCTGCAAGCCTCCACCTACACGTGAAGTCTTCGGCGAAGCCTTCTTCAAGCGCGGAGCCGCACCACTCCGGAATCCTACAAGCCTCCATCTACCTCGGAAGTCGTCGGCAGTCTACTTCAAGCGCGGGGGCCACACTACTCCGGGCGCTACGACTGCTTACTCCAGGCGCCGAGTGCACCTACTGCCGGTGCTACCTTTGGGCGCTGCGACTGCTGACTCTAAGCGTTGAGCGCACCTACTCCAGGCGCTACGTACGCCGGCTCCGGACGCCGCGTGTGCTGGCTCCAGGCGTGCGTGTCGTCGCTGCTAAGAAACCTACCTCTACAAGCACAACCGGCGTGTGCTGGCTTCAGGCGCTGCGTGCCGTCGCTGCTAAGAAACCTACCTCTACAATCGCAACGTGTGTCGCTTCGACTTTTAGGCTCCACTACAATTCTATATTCCCCTATTCTCCTACCTTTATTTTTTTTGTAATCTAATTGTACTCTCACTTCATTCATCATCATCCTCAATTCATTTTTTTATAAAATTGTAAATATCTTTGAATTTTGAATATATTTCTGTTTTTGTTGTATTTTTGTTGTTTTGTTGTTCTTAGGTTAGATTCTTTTTGATATATTATTGTCGCTTCACGACAACTTCTTTGTTCGGGATATCTAAATATAAAATGTAATCAATTATTTTCGGTATAATATTGATTGAACTTTCAAATCATAAACGTTTTATCTATTACAATTTATTATTTTCTGAGAAAATAGTAAAGTGATGCCGACTTAGTATGTATGGATTATGAAAATAATTACTTTATTTAATACGATCTTGAAAATCATTATACTATGTTTGCAATTAATTACTTTAAATTTTGTTGTGACCAAAATATTGTGAGCCTCAATCCCTGACTGACAATGATATATGTACCTAAATATTATACGAGATTATATTATGATATAAATTTGTAATGCCTGTAAAATAGTAAAAAAAATATATTATATATTTATTATATTGCCCAATTATGTCAAATATGTATGTTGTATTTCAGTAATTGAGCACAAGCGATCTAACTATTGAGAACAAGTTCTATGTTTTTAATTAGTTACCAATTATGGAGAATGGTATCATCGGTCGAAATCTTTTTAAAAAAAAATATAGATCACTTTCGCATTTTGATTCCAATATTTTAATATTATATGAACATCTAGGTAGATCGTAATAAAACCTATTTCAAACACTTGTAATAATTCCTTGGCAAGTTTTTTTTTCTTTTATTTCACTAATGTGATTAGACGGGTTAAGATACTTAAAGTTTTGTGTTGAATGGCAAGGATTGTAAGTATAATAATTAATTAAATATTGAGAGATTTGACTGATAAAAATAAATTCAGTGAGTGTTTTATACACATTGGTTAGAGTAAATTGACATATAAACTTATTTCAGTAATGAGAATATGTTGGAATGTTAATAGGTAAAGCACAAGATCTGGTAGATAATTAGCTATTTCAGTGATAGTCGGATGCGCAAACGAGTATTATGGAAATGCTCAAAAGTCAATGAGAACTTTTCGTAGACATCAGGTTTTTAGAAAGGATAAAAAGTACATATAATATGTTGTCAAGTTTATTGCAAAATGCATTATTATTGTTGCCCACCTATATATCTACATGATTATGTTAACATGATGTTGTAACGTTGGTTAGTACCAAAAATACGACAGGTTTAATGACGTACGAAATAAAATCGCATGCGTATCCTGGATTGACTCGATAATATTATGTATAACCTGACCTGATCATGAGCATGAGATTATAATCTTTTTTTTAATTATTTTATATTCTATTTAACTGCTTTATTTTACTCAATTATGTTTACTAAATTTAGAAATTATATAAATTTAATGGCTAAGTAACATTGTATTTTATTTTAATCTTCAATATTAAATTTATTTTTATGTAATAGGATTCAGGGTTCATATCATTTTATAATTAAATATTTGAATTCACAATATAATTTACATGTAACCATAAATCATTTTTTTATTATATCTATCAAGAAAATAATATGTAAAAAAAAAAGTAAATAAAGAACATTTCTTTTTTTTTTTAAGTATCGGGGGAGGTGTAGTGTATGTGCCTCAACCCTACTAGTAGTGTAAGAAATACATGTTCTCTTAAGTTTATTAATCAGTATAATTAAAGAATTAGTCTCAGCAACACGTCTTCTCTTTCATTAACACCTGCCGACATCACAAACCTATTTAAGTTTTATTGCATAGTCCACATTTGCCGTGGCAGCCTATAATTAAGTTGACGCTTAGCTTTAGTTTGATATTCATGTAACTTCTTTAAATTCCATATATTATTGTTCGCCTTGTTGGTTGTCCTTTTAAATAAATAAAATAAATATATAAAATAACATGATTCGTTAGGCTATTGCAATAAAAAAAGATCCTAATTTGTGCTACCTTCTACTTGGGATCCCATAATAAAAATTAAATCGACATCCAAACATACTACTGCAAGACTTCAAGATAGTGTAAGCTCGGTCTGCATAGATCGGACCAAAACTTAATAATTAAAAGTGTAAGGTAGCCTTCGTTAGCTATGACATCAAACGTCAAATAATTAGGTCCCCGTGACAATGGGTGCCGTAAAGTGCCCGAAACGTTGTAAATTAAAGAATTTAAAATTAAACGCGATAAAATCAGCAAAGGTCATTTTATTCCAATAGCAGTGGACTTCTGAAGGGCTGTAATGCTGATAATAATGATAATAAACCATCTGGAGTTTTCTGGTTCTACCACGGACAGAGGAATTTTTCAAAACCTTTAAATAAGTATTTTGAAAAAATCATTATTGAATAAAAAATATTCTACATGATTTTCAATCGTATTCTGATGTTATTATGAACACAAGAATTTCTGAACCCGTTTATTGATAAATAAGTATTTTATAAGTAGCTGTTCATCAATAAGACGACATGATTATTTTTTCTGTTACCATCCTTAAATTCGCCTAAAACGATTTGTAAGGGCCGATTTGTTACATGCATTAAGATATTGGATTTTCTTGATACGCCATTATTTTCAAATCTGTGTTATACATAACAATATTATACGCTAAAGAATACGTGGAATTATGGTGGACTTGCAATTAATAGTTTTCTTTTGTATTGCTGAGTTTAGGCGTTGTTGTTAATGTGTAGTCATGAACTTATTTTCTATTTTAATATCCACCATACAGAATTTCGGTCATGGCGGACAATTAACACGGAGACTAGCAATCTACGCACGATATGATAATATAAGTGATATTATCCTATAATCTGTGAAAGATGTGTGACATCAGGTGCTGCATTCTCTATTCCCTCACTCTCATAGTCCTTTGGGACGGTAATCCGACAAAACAGGAGTGAGATTAGGTGCAGGAGTTAGTTTACCGAGGCACGGAGTGAATTATCCGAACTTTCTGACTTCGGGCTACTGATTTTCAATAAGAATATCGTCTGTAATGTGTAACTGTTTAATGTAAATCAATTAGAATGCCATAGAAAAATTGTTCGTTAGTTTGATAGTTATTTTGGACATAGCGAAGGCTTTAGATCAGGTTTGGCACAAAGCTATTTTTTTGGAAGCTTCTTTTACTTTCTTAAGGGTTGGGAAATTATGCAATAGGATCACGAGTTTTTTCTCAGTTCGAACATAAAGTTCGTATTCGACGGTGCATGCTCCGACCCCAAGCCAGCAAGAATGCTGGCGTTCAACAAGGCTGCGTGTTATCGCCTACCCGTAACATCCATTGCTAAAGTACACGGCACAGCACTGGCGATGCCAAATGCACCTGCCTTGTTAATATTTTTCGAGAACAAGTCGCTGATTGCTGGAATAAACTTGTGTCTAAATTAAAGTCTTTGTTTCGGATTAGGGGCGACTAAATCTAGTACCGTTTAATCCCCAGAAGACAAAGGGCACATCTAACAATTTTTGAAATAATGAGTTAAATATACCATCAATGCTTTAGACATAACTGCTGCCCGAAAATGACATTTTTTAATTAGAAAAGACTTATTCAAATTCAACATTAAAGAAAATACTTATTTATTTGTAAGTAGAAGCGTGTCGAGAAAAATTATTTATCTGACTATCAGAAGGAAGTGAGTTGTAAGCATAATTGCTAGAGTAGTAACAAGAACATCAATTTTTTGTATAGGCTATATCATCTTCAAGTTCATTAATAATTGAAACAACTTTATTTTTAATGATCTCTGATAGAACGTCGGCATTTCCTTTGTACTTTGGTACGTTGAATCAAAAAAAGCTTTCAACGGATCACCTGGTGTAAGTACTTCTTTACGTAACTCTTCTATCTGTGCAGTGCGTTTTGCTCTATTATCATCAATTATTTTAATAATTTCAACAAATCATTTACGTTACTTTGAATTATTTCATCCTTCTTTTTTTTTTGCGCTGGTATAGAATCTGAGTCTCTGCTAACTTCTGCACTAGCTGGCTCCTTCCTAACTTGTCGAAAAATCAGGATGTGGTGTGACATTTGTATCTCTTTCCGTATTAGTCGTATACATATGAAAGCCAAAATTTCATGTAACTCATGTACTTCCAGATTTTTATGTTTGTTAGTGTCTACTTTTATGTGTTGTTAATTTTTTTTTCTTTTTCACAGTGCGTGTCTCGCAAAAGTTTCCATTTTGCCACTGTAACTGTAAATAAAACAAATTATTATAACATAACCTATTAAAAGTAATTTCATGAGATTAACTATAACTATTAATCAATAATTTTATTTATTTTCAGATTTCTTATAACCGAAACTTCATACACTGTCAAAAAGCTATAGAATGGGCCGTTCAACGCTCTCACAAATAATACCAGAATTGTGTGAAAGTATATGGACCAAGTTGAGGCCAAAAGTAATGAAGCTCCCTACTGAATCTGAGTGCAATTTATTTGTGTTGGTGTAATAGCAAGTGCAATGGCAAGCGCTTGGTAATTTTTTCACCTCCTAAGTCAGGATCACAGTATTTTAACAAGAAACACACATTTTAGATTGTACTACTAGCAGTTGCTGATGCTCATGGAAGATTTATAATTAATTATAATATCGATATTGCATCAATGGGCAGGTTTGGTGATAGTGGAATATTCACAATGAGTCATTTCTATAATAAGTTTCAAAAGAATGGATTGAGATTGTCCGCAGATGAACCCCTATATGAAGGAGGTTTCTCGTAGTCTTATGTTTTAGTCATCGACTGTGCATTTCCTATGACGATACAGTAATTAAAACCTTGCCCTGATCATAAAAAGTTGGATAATGACTGGATAATATTCAATTATAGACTGAGTCAAGTATGCCGAATGGTAGAAAGTGTGTTTGGTATGTTAGTGCACAAATGGCGTATCTTTTTAGGCCAATAGATGTTAAAATAAGTAACGTCAAAAATTTTTTGTGGGCTGCGTGCATTCTACATAATTATGTAATACATAATAACATTGAAAAGAGCCCTTGACAGTCAGCTACTTCTGATTGTGTCTCAAGTAACAACTTCGAGGTATCCGCACAAATCTCAGCTGATTTTGAAAACAGCTTTTTTGTGAAAGAATATTTCAAAGAATATTTTGATTCCGTTGGAACTGTATCATTGCAGAATAATGGTGTGAGAAATGCATTCGACTCTGACAGAGTAATTCATAACCTAGCATAGGTACTGCAAAATGAATATTGTTATGCCTGTGTGTGTTGTGTTAAATAGATATTGAATAAAAAACTCACCACTTTTTTTTTCTTTAAAATATCTTTCTAAGCTGCGTCTTACATGTCTAATTGTTTATAAGATGGCAATTTTTTGTAACCCAGCGAGACAACTATAGGAACTAAACACTCGCTTCTCACTGCTCGCCAACTTGTTTCTAGTTTCTAAATTTTAAATATTTTCGGCTCTTTAGCATGAACCTATCAGATTGAAAGAAAGATGACACAAATAGTTGCCATAGAGCATTTTTTTTCACAAAATCATGACTTGAAGCACTTAGTGCTTTGGCTAGATAATTGCGCTGCTCAGAATAATCATTGGGCTCAACTTTCATATAATATGTTATACCTCATTAATTCAACTGAAGTTTTGTTTGAAATTTTAAATTTTATGGCTTCCGATGAATTTCGTCATAGGGTAGAAATGGCTATATAAAATTAAAAATTATTTATGATTTTGAAGGCTTTTATCAAGCTTTTATCAATTAAGATGTTAAATTAACACAATGAACATCTTAATTCAATAGACTCTAAAATTGGATTTACTATGGAGTTAGAGGCAAATAATTATTTAGATTTCCTCGATGTATTAGTAATTTGAAATGCTAACAACACCATAGGTCACACTGTGTATAAAAAAAGACCCATACAAACCGATATTTAAACGGTGAATCCCACCGTCACCCTTCACAGTTATCTAACGTGGGCAAATTTTTGTTACAGAGAGCGCGAGGGATCCGTGACAGCAAACACCTGGCCGCCGAGCTTCAGCACGTCGAGCAGGTCCTGCACGACAACAAGCTTCAGGTCCCGCGCCTACGTCACAGTGACCGAGTGAAGCCGGCCATAGTCGAGCGTGTGCCTGCTGTACTACCATATGTCAGAGATGTAAGAATAAATGTAGATGTCTATGGGCCACAGCAACCACTTACCATCAGGTGGACTGTGTGCTCGTTTGTCATCCTATCCTATAAAAAAAAGACAAGACTGGCTACATCTTAAAGAGAGCTTCTATTAGAACATTCTTCAATCCGGCGAAGAAGATAAGTCAGTTCTTACCGTCCGTCAAGTGCAATATTCCTCTAAAAATTGCAGGAGTGTACAAGCTTGATTGTGAATGTGGTCTCTCATATATAGGGCAAACAAAACGATCAATAAAATCCGCGTAAAAGAACACATAGCTGACGTGAAGCACCAACGTTCCGGGAAGTTTGCATTACATTACATTAGATTTAATAAACCACAAATTCTCGCGAAAGAACATCGATTCCTGCCAAGGATGATACGTGAGGCTATTGAAATTAAAAAAAAATCTAATTTCAATAGAGAGGGAGGCTGGGTAGTACCACCTGCTTGAGATCCTGTAATTAATAAAATTAAAACTAAACCCAAGCATACCACTGCAAGACTTCAAGACACAGTTAGTTCATTCTGCGTATATCGGACCAAAATTATTAATTAACAAAGGTGAAGGTACTTTGACATCGGGACGTCAATCACCTCAGTCTCCCGTGACCATGGGTGCTGTAAACCACCCGACACGTCGGGAATTAATAAAAATTAGTTAATTAAACGCGAAAGAATCCGTAAATGTAGTTTTATTCAAAAATACTGAAGGTAAACTGTATGTAAGTACAGTAGTTAGTCTTCTTTGTTAACAGTAGCTACATTGATCACTAACAATAAGGTCGGCTGAACCGAAAGCTAGTTTGTTCATTTTACTCTGAACGAAATAAAAATAACAATAAAATTAATCGATTTAGTCTCAAACGGTTTCCGCAAATATTATTGGAATGAGACTACTTAAATCCAATCGGACAAAACATTTTTATGCTGTAAGAATAAGTGATTCAATTTTCTTTACGCAAGACTAGAATCCACTTAAGTATTATGAACGTAATAGACGAGAGGGAATAGTTTTCTTTCAGAAGCTGCTTTTAAGATAATGACAGAAAACGAGTTCCTATATCTACAAATGTATTACGACCAATATGGCCCGAAGTCAATTGATTAGAAACGGATTACACCAGAGATATATGATTGTTCGTATTAAGACTGACTGAATGACAGAATGAAATACGTATTTAGATAGGTGACTGAAGTATTTTCCACGGGTTAGCAGTCCAGGGTTCACGAAGTGTTATCCTATTATACCGCTAAGCTTGAAGGTCTTCAAACCCAGATTGCTACTAAGTGTTGGAAAATGAAAAAGTATATTAATCAATAATCGTTATCAAAATTTACATCAATATGATAATGAGAAGATAAGAGCAAGGGAAAGTGGACAACGCGTAGTCTTAAACTCCGGGGATATTTCAAAAGGTTTTTCAAATTATCGAAAGAAACGGTGACGAACGGAAAAGTTTTTTATAGCGATGATGAAGTTTTCCTCAAAGTGAAATGAAAAATATTCGTTTTTCTAATATCTAAATAAAGTTTTTAGCATTCTATATCTCCTTGTCTATGATCTTTTTTTTATCTTTTTTTTAATCAAATATTAATTTTTTATGACAACTTTGTTTTTTCTATTTAAAGATCCAGGAAGGTAGTTGTCGATTTATGGAGACTAACAATGAAAACGTTTTCTCTAAATGTTAGCTAACTAACATACTGACTGACTAACGAGGTTTCAAGTGTCGTAAAAAATCAACCTTAAAACTGCTTAACTCAAATATGTCCCATGGGAGGGTGAGCAACATTCACATGTGAAACTATCAGCTCTGCGCTATTCAACTTGTCTGCCCATTACGGCGGGTAAGGGCAATGCTATCAATTTCAATTGAAAAGGCATGGCCAATATTGTTAAAATAATTTACTATGAAAGCTATGCGCAATTTTTTATATTTATATCAGATACACCTAGGAATATATTTAATATTTATTCATTCATTCATTCATTAGAGCCGTGGTAGCTCAGAGGCTTAGCGCTCGCTCTAAATTTCACAGTACGTGAGCAACCCGGGTTCGATCCCTGCCGGCACCAATGAATTTATTAATTGCAATTTTAAGTGCTAATTTACCACATGTTCAGCGGTGAAGGATAACATTGTGAGGAAACCTGCATGTCAAAGAAATAAAAAAAATATTTCCAAGACATGTGAAGTCCGCCAATATGCATTGGGGCAGCGTGGCGAACACTTTCTGGCACTAATTCCCTCTCAGAAGTAAGTACTTTAACTTTTCTCATTCATTCTTTACAGCATATCAAAATTATTCGTGTGAATATAGGCTTCAAGTGGATTACCGAATAGGGAAGATAATTATCACAGTAGTCAGCGTGGCAGGTGTGTTGGCAACCGCAGGTTTTTATAATTATGAATTGTTATCAGGGGGATGCTGCTCCCCACCTCATTTTTTATTTCCCTCGTCAACTTAAGACGCCCACGGGATGTTACGGGTTAGTGCACTCCCTTACGACGCTGCAACTAAACGTAATGAATAAGAATATCATCATCATCATCATTCCAGCCCTTCACAAGACCTCTGCTGAACATAGGCCTCCCCCAAGGAATGCCACAAAGCCCAGTCCTGAGCCATCTGCATCCATCGACTTCCTGCATGTCTTACTAGGTCATCTTACCGTATGAGGATGCTCTATAAGAATATACATACATATACAAAATTATTTATGTATTTCTGATAATATTTATTCAATAACTACGCAATTTTATGTTGTATAATAAAAGAAGCTTGTAAGTATCTTATGAAGGCAATTTAAAAATGGATTCGGAACGTGCTTGAATTAGAAATTGTACGATAACGCAATTTATAAACCGCAAGCTCGCATAGAAGTGACATCGCTTTTGCATAGTTAGGTTGACTTTTTACCAGCGAAATAATTGAATGATTTTATTATTATCTGCCTCAGCTAGATTACACATCGTGTAAAAATTCAAAATAAGGGTTTAGTTGCTATGACATAAAATCTTTGTATATGCACAAGTAACTTCTTATTTATCATTTTAAAAGGAGAAGTGACCGTTTCCATGCATTTTTGGGCCCAGGTGTTAACATGATGAAATTAGTATCATTTGAAAGCTTAATCATAAACAATTCATGTGCAGAAGAGTGGAGATGAGAAGGATATCAACAACTACAGACCAATTTCAGTATTGCTGGCAATATCAAAAGTTATAGAAAAACTTATCAACAAGAGGCTCATAAGTTTTCTCAATAAGTTCCATATCTTATCCAGTTCACAATTTGACTTTCAAGCAGGGAAATTGACTGAAAACGCTGTAGAAGCCCTTACTTCTGCAGTTGTTGATAATCTTGATAAAAAGATAAACTGAATCGCAGTGTTTATTGATCTTAAAAAGGCATTTGACACCGTGTCTACCCCTATTCTATTGCAGAAGTTAGAAAACTGTGGGATTAGAGGTGTGCCCCTTGACTTGCTTAAAAGTTACTTGACCGGTAGGACTCAGAGGGTAAAAATAGGTTCACATATAAGTCAAAAAACTAGTGTCACTTATGTCGTGCCGCAAGGAAGCGTTTTAGGACCCACCCTGTTTTTAATATACATAAACGAACTCTGCAATATGAAGATCCCACATGATAGCATATTCTCATATGCTGACGACACTGCCATTGTGTTTACAGGCGACTCCTTGAACAATTTAAAAAATAATACAGAGTACGGTTTGTACCATCACTTACTAACGTTAAATACCAGCAAAACAAACTATATTTTGTTTTCCATAAAAAACAGTCTGCCTAAATTTCCCAGTGATATAAAGATTCATTGCTGTCAGCCGCTAGCACGAATTGCAACTGCCCCACTATAACTAGACTAACATCTACGAAGTACCTTGGTGTCTTAGTGGACCAGAGACTTTCATGGATGTCTCATGTCGAATCTAAAATAGGTCCTTTTCTTAAATTAAGTGAATAGTTTAGAAGTGTGAAGCGTAAAGTCAACTTTTAAAATGAAAGTCGTTAAGTGGAACGTAG